TCTCTCTCATTATATATATATATATATATTAATATAAAACTCACATCTTTCAACAACCAATCACATAGACCAGCACTGGCCCATGTGGACTACCTGGCACCGCCATCAATGGCAAATATGCCAATGATTACGGTTGTTTCTAGGATCCTACAAGACAGCCATCACTGACAGTAATTGGCTTGTAGCATTACATTAAAAAAAAAGCAAGTGAGGCTTTTTCACATCCTACATGCTGTCTCTTTCTCTTCCCCTCACTCTTGGCTCTCTTCCCTTTGTCTTGCTCTCTTTACACGTAATGCTACACGTAATTATGCTACATGTAATTAGAACTTAGCATACGTAGCTCAGTGTTCATACTCAGCACTCCTTGGTGCTAGAATTCATGAACTCCCATGTGCACATGTGGGAGTTACATCATCCCGGGCCTGGCTAATCAAGATGGCCCTGCAGCCAGAATAGATGTCGGTAATTGCAAGGAAGTTTGCGGACAATTGCACCAAGTTTACTGAATGGACCATGCATGTATATATACAAGGTGATTATATCTTCCTCTTAATGGCCTCTTCTCAAGGAGTAAGCATTTCAGACCTTCCAGAGACAAAATATATTAGTCCAGTTTTGAAACACATTGCTGCAGATTTAAAAGAAAATGATACAGGTAGTTTCCCAAATACACTGGACATAGGGGGATTATCAGCTGTGCTTACCACAATAATTTACGCTGCAATAATCAAACGTCTGGTTGGGGTGAGATACATAGCACCACACTCCCTCATCATCGTTGTCTGGGTTCCTGCAATAATTTTCCTTTAGTACAACGTCTTTACGGAAATCCTTGTGGCTGTGCAGCTCCACCTCTGCTGAGTTCCAGGGGAGACATGGCAGTCCTGACACGGTAACCGACAGATTCCCCTCGTATTGTAATCCGCGGTTTGGTTCACATGATACGTCCTGTGTCTGTGCAGGCCCCTGTTTTACTAGTACGATTGGCTCAACTGTGGTTTTTTTTGTACCTGCAAGGACACAAACTCAGTTTTAAAATGTGCAGTATGTTGGTAAATTTAATGGTGGATTTGGTTACCTTTGGGATGAAAACCGACCACCACTTTAGGAAAAAGTTATACATTTGATAGTCTGTTATGGTAATGCCAAGTATACTATTTTATGCTTTATTAATAAGGGATATGTGAAATCAGATATATGAGAGAGACTCTTTAAGTCTCCTAAAAAAATATATAATTGGATTTTCCTGCAATAGAAGAGCTTTTATACCTCTCTGGTGGCCCATATCTCCTACCTTTGCCCTATTCAAGCACTGTACCTTCTTCGGCATTGACATGTCCGGGAGTGTCTGATGCCTAAGTTCCCTGCAACGGGCTGTGGTTTTTAATCCTCTGCCTTCTACATCATTGCTGTGTCCTATAGTTAAATAGAATAATATAGAAATGCCCCACTGCACTCCTGACCGGAATGTGCCTGTAGCCTATGGGTGGGTGCTGCAGTGACCGTGGATGACACCGCCAATCAAACCAAGAGAAATGAAGTAGTCACTGGCACTCCAGAGTTCCTGCTGTCAATTCCTCTCTATTGACATACAAAGGCCACCTCAAAACGCGTGGCAACATTTTGGAACCATGTCGGTCCCTTCATCAGGCAAACAGAGTCATCACTTTGTTTGCCAGTGCCAGTGACTACTTCATTTCACTATAGTGACATAGGTGTTGGTGCATGGAACAACAGTGCGCAATTGTGAAAACAGACACGGAGGGATGATAAGAGACACAGTCCATATTAGCTCTTCTATTGCTGCACTATGCAGCTTTTTAGGCAACTAACAAGGTCACTTTGAAGTGGAAATAGCTAAAAACACAGATTTGCCCAACACAAACACCATAAAAAAAATACTCCCCGAGGCTTGAACCCTTCCCCATTCTATCCAAAACCGGAAAAAAGTTTTGCACCTTGGTTGCATCTGGTGGGATGGTGGGATTTGTTTATCTTGCTGTAAGGAGTGGAATTTCAAAATATACTTTCATGATTATAATACATATCGGCTTTGTTAGCCAATGAGCAATTTACTGCAGTGTTCAATAAATTGTGTCAATACTCAGACTTAGCGACATCAGCCATGCCGCTAAAAATTGCTCCTGCTTTTTCGGGCCCTGGATGGAAGGTATGATGGAGCTTGGCACCACTTACCACATACTAGCACAGCACACTCCTCTGTGGGCTTTTCAGGGTCTTTTGTGTAACACCATGGACCAAGTGGGTTGTCATTAGGGTTTCGGCAATAGTTCTCCGTCAGGTTTTTGTCGGGATGAGTGGTTGGATTCACCCTGAGATACAAAGGACGTTAGAACGTAACAATGTATAAGCAAGTTCAGGAAATCTACAGGCAACCCATGACCCTGGTTCTCTAGGACTTCTACATCCATGCCTTGTCATTCACATGCTAGTCACCTCACAGGGCTGTTAAAGTCTCAATCCAGGCTTGTTTTTACAAAAGTGGACCCAGATAAAGATGGCATCTTAACATTAACATAGTCAACAATTGTTGATAACATGTTTTAAAAATGCACCATAGATGTGCTACAGAAGATTATAGTGGTTGGGCCATCACGGGTCCAATTACATACTCAAGCATAATCCCTTGTAACTGTAAGTTTAGCTTTGCCCTCGTTTTGGCACTACTCAGGTTCATGCCATATCTGGCAGACTGACCATTTGTGGTCTCGAAATTTTAAGGCCTAGGCATTGTTGCTATTACCCATTTTTGCCTGTGAATTGTCACGATTGGCTTTTGCTGCTCATGAATTGTAATGATTGCCCATTTGTCTCCCATGTATTGGAACGACTATCCATTTTGTACAACCCTTTTGTTGCCTCTGTGTTGTCACAATTGATTGTTTGTTGTCCACATTTTGGCAAACCTGCCCATATGTTGCTCATATATTGTAATGATTTCCGTTTTGTTGCTTATGTACGTTCAAAATTGGCAGTGCATTGCCCTTGTTTGTTGCCCATTCGATGTCACAATCGCCAATACGTTACCCACATATTTCCACAATTTGCCACATTTGAGGACCATGCCCTTGTAATTTAAGTCTGTCACTATTAAAATACACCCCTTTTTTGACCATGCTCCCAGAAGCTCAGGAGCTGGCATGTGCTTTATTGATTTATGGGAAATGTGCCTTTTAATGACAGGCCCATGTTACATATTTAGATAAAGGAAACCAGCAAATATGATAAATCATACAGCTACACTCACTTCGTCAGGTGTGGAAACTTGCTGGCCCAGTACTGACACTCTCTTCCAGATCTGGTGACACTGAGGACCCCTCTGTAATTTTGCCCGAGGCCAGATGCACAGTCACCTGTCAATTAGAGGAGTACATACAGGTAATTCAGCCATGGCAACACTATGATCAACACCCTTCATAGCAGGATCACTAAGTAATATTTTAATAAAAGCTGCAGATTTACAAAGACTGAAAACTATTTTTAAAACCACATTGACATATTAAAGCTAATATGAGATTTCAGTGCTAGGGTTTATATCTCCTTTAAATGTTTGGATTAGACTTGTAATCCTGTTTGCCCAACTGGCAAAAAAAAGCAAACAGGGTTACTGAAAGAAAATATGGCAAATCAGATTCCGCTTGTAATGCAGTGATGGAGTCCAAACCCCTTTAGCTCTATTCAGCTTTCTTGTCAATTACTGTCCCTGGTCTTGGGTTATTAAAGGGTAGTTGGGTGAGGGAATGGGAAACAGAGTGGTCCATGACCATGACCCTTGGCCATGAACAGTGCTGCACCATAACTTTTGAGTATCTCATTAGGAGGAGGCACAATTGTGTAATGGGAGAAAGATAAGCCAAGATGACCTTCATGTTACCTTCTTATGGGCACTAATTATACACCAGTTCCACTACTCAAGATGAAGCCTTATATGCAACCCTCCTCCCATGCCCACTCCCCCCCCCCAAATGTGGTGTCTATTATTTGAAAAGAACATCTACTCATTCTTCTGTGAATTGACCATTATTTGGAATAAATATTAAGTTGTTTTAGTAAAACCCAAATGGACATTCCTTCTTTGTGGAATGGGAAGTTGAAGAGAGATGGATTGTATCTGTGTGGGTTCTGTTTTGGCAGAGAGGGTAGGTGTGCCTTGTGGCTTTCTCAAGGGTAAAGGTTAAGCCTGGGTAAAAGGGACAAGGTTTCCCCTAAGATTAATCTGACTTTTAATGAATGCCATGTTGTAGAAAGAGCCCAATTGGAAACCAGCTTATTGACTGCATTGGCTGTCTTGGGGGTAGAGCTCGCCTTCAATTCTGGGCCTGAATTATTGGTAGTTGCAAGCTATGTGCTTTGGGCGCATTTCATCTTAGCAGAACGTGGAACTAATGAAGTTGTAGTTTCCAGTCCTGACACATGAGGGAGCTGGCCTTCTGCTAGGTAACGTTTCTTTTAAACCTCCATACTGGTTCCATACTGGTGTGAGAATTTTAGCCTGTTTAAAGATGATAAATACAAATAAAAAGGGTTCTAACTCCCACTGAGACCCTTCAGCACTGAATGTATACAATCCCACAGTTTCTTTTGGAATTTTCTTAGATGGCCTAGCTAGATTCCTCTTTATTTCATCATTGTGGAAAAAGTAATGGCATCAACAAAATGCAATGCTGACGTCCTTTATCATGCCACTGCTGAATGCTGGGAGTACAGGAAAGAGTATATGCTCATGTTTTCCTGTTTATCATATTTTTCGCTTTTTTTGATTAGATTAACTCATTTTTAATGATTGTTTCTGTTCAGAATCAATACAGTAATTGCAAACAGCATTTTCATAATCCAATGGCATTCTTTATTAATAGGTCCCTTATATTTCTGGCACACAGGACATTGTATAATGCTATTACAGAATAATGGTGTGGACACAATTCAGCCAGCGCAATATGTGAATAAAGCGCACTGTGCATGCGGTTCTGCCCTCTGAGCTAAAACGTCTGCATACAGGGATTGCATGTATACAGCTATAAAATCAGCAGTTCGGCTACAAAAGCATTAGTTAAAGCCCCGATGGCTTAACAGTTAACGTCTCTAACTTGCAGCGCAGAAGTTCTTGGTCCCCATTTCATAAATCCATAATAATAATAATAATTATATTATTATACAAAAGTTTGAGCAGCGCTTTACAATATAAGGAAGACATTACAATTACAATACAATTCAAGACAAGATGGTAAAGAGGGCCCTGACCGTGAGGGCTTACAATCTAAAAGGAAGGGACAAGATACATGAGGAGGTAGCTGTGTGGGGAGGAATTGTTTGAGAACGTGATGATGAGAGGTTAGGTTGAGGTGAGATAGGCTTCCCTGAAGAGATGAGTCTTTAGGTATCGTCTAAAGGCAGTCAGAGTAGGAGATAGAGAGACAGGTTGGGGTAAAGAGTTCCAGAGGATGGGAGAGACTCTAGAGAAGTCCTGGAGGCGAGCATGGGAGGAGTTGACGAGGGAGCTGGAAAGCAGGAGGTCAATGGATGAGTGAAGGGGACGGTTATGGTGATACTTTGAGACGAGGTTGGAGATATACCTGAGAGCAGAGTTTTGGATGGCTTTATAAGTGGTTGTTAATATTTTGAATTGTATCCTTAATTATGATGATTCAATGAGTACAGTGAGGACGGAATAGATCAATATATTGAATCAGAGAAATAGCTGGGCCCCGGCAGGGTCATAGTCCTGGTACGAGTCACTTAGACTTTTATGCATGCAACTAGTAGGCAGCTAGTATATAGCAAATACGAACAGAAGGTCTCACCTTCCAGGCAGGTAAGCAATGTCTCCCTGGGCGGCTTCTTCTGTGGTTCACATGCTGCGGATGAGTCAAATACACATTTTAGATAAATTCTAAGTACATGGGAGATAAAATGGAAAATGCCATGACACTGTTGATGTAGAACAGGTTTTAAAAGGTCAATCCACCCAAGAGAGATATTTGTGTTATAGAATGAGCCTGATCAGATGATTCAGCCCCGGGCTTCTTATATGTCGTTCATCCTCCAACAGTGATACCTCCCTGCCTTAAATACAGACTTTTTTTGGGGTGTTCCTGCTCCTTCTGTTACATTCTCCATAGTATAAAAACAATAAAATAGATACAGGTTCCACCAGAGTGAGGACCCCTCATAATGGGCACAGCGGGTGTACAGACCTTCCAACTCAGGACCAAGATCTCACCAATACTGAGAGATGTATGGAACGTATGGAATATATGGAACGGTCTATCTCTCCAGTCTCCACCATCAACCAAAAACATTTTGGGTGAACCGATCCTTTAATAACATTTATTGATAGATATGACAGAAAATAATTTTAAAAATGATTTAAAGTAAAATAGTATAGTTTGGGGGATGTTGTATTTTTTTTAAACACAGCTGACTTCCCATCCAGTAATCTGATATTCTGTAACCCTGTTTTACACAAAATTGCAGAGGAGACGAGGACTTTGCCTCATTTCCTGTCCAAGAAAGTAAGAGGAAATCTCACCTAAACCAGTCCACATATAACAAAAAGTTCTACTTTAAGGCCTTATTTGTAACAAAGCCCTAAAGCGGACCTTTACCCTTATTTTTAAAATAACAACCAACACACCTGTAGGCCTCATTCACATGAGAAAAGGCCGGCATGTACAGCTCCGTGCACGGCCGTACCGGGCAGCTCCCAGGAAGGACAGGTGCTGCGTGTGATTAGTACGCAGCCCCCGTCCTTCTATATGGGAATACGCGGCCATATGCCGCCCTACGCTTACCAGCCCTGCACGTCCGTGCGGGTGTGGGTGTCCGTACTCGTACACCGACAGGATGGATCCTGTCTGCGTCTGAGCCAGGACACCCGCACGCGTACGGACCTGCACTTGGGTGAACGTAGGGCGGCGTACGGCCGTGTACTCCCATAGAAAAGGACAGGGGCTGTGTACTAATCACACGTGTGTTGCTGCTAGCTGACATCATTGTTTGGGGGTTTGAAGCTGTTTCTTCAGATTTGGAAACAGGAAGAAGTCCGAAGGTGCCAGGTCAGGTGAGTAAGGTGGATGTGGCAGAGATTCATAGCCACAATCGTGAACAACAGTTTCTGCAGGTCGATGTGCAGGTGCATTGTCAGCTAGCAGCAACACACGGCTCGGTATTCAACTTTGTCCGGCATGACACCTACTCCATTTCTCTTGGCTCTACCTATAATTCATCACGACCTACAAAAACAAAAATTGGCATGCATATTACTAAGATATCCCCCTATAAACCTTCAAAAAAAAATCCCTAGCACATCCAAATCATGGTGAGGGTAAGAACTTATTGGCCGCACCTCGTATGTTCCTGATATCCACTCGCACTAAGGCAGTGGTTCTCAACCTTTCTAGGGCCGGGACCCCTTGGTAACATTTGCCAAGTTGTGGATGGCGGCCATGAGCAGCTATCTAATAGTGGGAGACTCCTGGGCGACCCCTGGCAAATCGTGATTCGACCACCGAGGGGGTCGCGACCCACAGGTTGAGAACCGCTGCACTAAGGAGACCACTTGGCTGAGTGGTGAAACATCTTCAACATTACAGAACAGGTCATGCTGACTGTGACCACCTACCACCAGCCCTCCTTAGTACATTGGTCCCTACAATCCAACGGTGACCTTTGTTCCCTATGATGCAATCAGCAAATGAACAAACTCAAGAAGATGATGACTAATCACATTGTACTCACATTGATACCGTTGCCAGAAAATTTTCTGTAATACAAAAATAAAATGAATACTGTTACGAAGGCACAACCATAGAACTCTGATGGCACACCATGTACTTGTATCTGTTGTCACCCTACTGCAACACAAACACTGAAATATTGGAAAACAGCACAAAAAATAAAGGAAAGACCACAGTAACCAATCAGAGGATCGCACTAAAGTAGTGGAATCTAACTTGTCGATTTGGGAAGACATCACAGTACAGAAAGGGCTCATTATGGTGAACATTAAATCCCCAGCCCCCTCCTTAGCATTACATAGCAGGACGCTAGGTAGTATTTGCAAGCAAGTAAAAAGCATTAAAAAACTTAAGTAGCAATTTTTTTTTTTTTTTTTATAACTAGTTATGGAATGTGAATGGGAACATGTAACACATATACAATAGGCGTTATCCCAGTTTGGCAGAAAATTGGAAATACATTTTAAGGTTTTAGTCAAAGTGGCCCATTAGGGATGAGATTTTCTCTGTCCACTGATGTACCGTCCTCACTTCATTAAATTGTATCTAATGTCAAAACTTTATTTCGTTTTGGATAGATTGGGTAACAGTTATATCCTCCATCACGTTTCTATTGCTGTCTGCGTGAAGCCGCTTAAGGCAAATATGGCACTAAAGCAAGTGAAAATCACTCACCTCATAGTTCTCCTTTAAAGAAGGAAGAAGGGATGGATGGAGCAACATCCTAGACTGAGGGACAATCAACACCTAGCTCATCCTCAGTACCTGTTTGGCTTACCCCAACTCATTTCAATGGGGGGGCTGAGTTAAATATGTATAGCCCTCATATTTTTTTAAAAATAGAGTAGGAAAGGTTTCAAACCATTCTTTCCATGTCCTGTTGGGGAGATTTCCCCTCATTTTTGCAGCTGCACTGGAAGCAAGAGAAAATCCCTACAAAGTTAGAGGAAGTCCCCTCCTAGACAACTGTAATTGGAACAGGTGTCCTCATTGGAAGATTTGACATTACTTCTTGTTCTGGTGGACAACTCTAAAATTTGGGATATCTCATCACTCTCTATCCTCCGTGAGAATGGTCACCAGGACAAATAGTAAAGGTGATTCCTCCAAGTGGGAATAAAGAAAGCCATAAGAAATCTGACAGGCGTTCTAAACCTTCTCTATCCGTTTTCAGACACTTAGGGATGTACGTGTAAACAATTCACAGAGCCATTCATCCTGTGAAACTCAATGAACATTCGTTCCGTGCTAATGTAGACAAAAGTTAACGTTCTTAGTATATTTTCTTTCCAGGTTAAATGTAATATCTGGAAAATAACCCATTATGGCCACTAGATGGAGCTGAGGAGCCTAGGAAATAAATACAGTAATGCCTTTACTATGCTACTCAACTCCATTTGCTTTACATTTGAAAGAAAAAAAAATATACTAGGAACATTCATTTTTGCCTCTGTTCTCATAGAGTGAACGTTCACAGACTTTGGCGGGGTGAAAGGCTCTGCAAATTGTTTATAACTAGACCCCATAGGGTCAGGGAGACCAGCAGAGCAAATCATTTCCCAGTATACCAGTGCGATAATCATAAAATACACGTCTCTCTAAGTAAATGGATAATGATTCAAGCACAATAAAATAATCACCTAAATCAGAGCCAACCTGCAGACAAGGCTTGCTAACAGTCCCTTATTCCCAGGACAGCCCTTAGACTTGAGTTTTGAAGACCTGCCTTAGGTATATTTGTCCCTGATATTAAGGACTGTTTGGCTACACAATGCCGGCTTTTTATGATTTATTGTATACCTGTTGCTGCCTCTGTGCAAGCAATACAAGTGTTACTTAGGATAGTAGCTGATGGATGGTAAGGGACTAGAGGTGCAGTCAACAATAGTTTATCACTTGTAACAGAGCTTTGTCAAGACCGGTGGACTTAATAAAGTTCTTACAAGAAAAAAAATGGACATTGACTCCACCCACACCTCCCATTTCTCACATTACTAGGAGAATAATTCACATAGAGTGACCATTGTGGAATAAGACATGCAGATAGATTTGGACCTCTGCCAGGTTTTTATAGCGGTCTTTGTCCTCCATTGAGAAATTTCCCCTTCCTGCCTGTTCTAACAGGAAGTGAGGGGTAGTTTCCTCAACAGGGACATAAGCTGCAATTAGTCCGTTTTGAAATAAGGGGCATTACAGGACAGGCCTAGCTTAGCAGGACAGTATAGACATGCAACAGAGATGCAATACATGCCAAAATGTACATATTACAGTATAATCGGTCTGTGGAATATTAGCAAAATATAATGACTGCAAACATATAAATATCCTAAATGCGTCCGGAACGAACTTTACCGTGGCATCATCTGACTCTATGATTTCTCTGGCCTCCTCGTAGTCGCACAACTCCTCCACACACTCCCGTTCCATGTTTCCTGGCCTCACCTCCTCCCATAATGAATTTGCTCTTCTTGAGCGTTCAAGGACAGACGAGGCTGCTTGGTTGTTGAGGAACACTAAAGAGACATAAGGGAAAGGTGTTATAGGAAATGTGCAGTGATTTTGTACTGTATATATATATTCCCTTTTTTTTTATTTATTATGGTCAGTACTAAAAAAAATATATCTGGGAAATATGGTATATGAAAATGTTGTAGTTTTATATGCAGCCAGCAGGTGGAGCTATTGGCTTCTTTTCTTATAACTTCCAGGCTCTCCTTATCTGCTTTACTGGAAAAAAAAGTTGTTGTTTACAGAGCTAACTAGCGAAAGCTGAAAGTCACACATATAAATAAATGAATCAAAGCCATGACTGGTTAACTCTGTCTGAAAGAAGAAAAGTGTTGCTGTACTCTATCCTTACAACACACATAGGGGGACATTTATGAATGCAGTTGCACTCTATTTCCATGTCGCACCACATGAATGTGTGCCACTCATTATCAGTTAATTTTCTACCTTTTGCAGCTAAACAAGTTTGCGAGTGCCACGCTACTTCCTGTGTAGTGCATGTCTGTGAACAATCTGCGAATGTCTGCTAGTTTGCATTTGTTATGAACGTGGCAGAATTAACACAACGATTGTCGCATAATTAAAAAGTCATGTGACCACTAGGTTTTTAAAGGCAAATTGGGTGAAGGGAAACATTTATCAATCAATCAAGTTAAAACAATTGCTGATCTCCTTCTGAAAATGCAAGTTGCCCGACTTTCTCTGCTGGCTTTAATCATTTCGGAGCCACAAACCTGGAACAAGTATGCAATGATCTCATGCTAGATTACTGACATAGAAAAAATGAAAGCCATAGTCTCTTCCTAAAAGATTTTGAGTCAGGTGGCCAATTTGCAGATACAGATTTGGTCAATATACTGGTAAAATGTTTCAGTTCCCACTGGCCATTGCAGAGTGCACAGCAGGCTTCTCGCTAATCGCTTCTCGCTACCTGGGTGGACTTCGGTCACCTAGTAGGATCCAACTGGGATCCATTTTGATCACTGCTCTCTAACCCTTGTTGACTTTAACAGCTGGATTCCCATTGCTTTCTGCCTGCCTAGGAGGCCACCTGGGGAAAGGAGACTGTGCTCAAGAAAGATTGTCCAGGGCCACTCGGCCACTCTGCCTTTATTGAACTGGTAAGATGATCAATGTTCCTCTGGGGAACTCCTTACTAATACGGTCAGCGGATCAAATATTCTCCCGGTGTGAAATAGTCTTCCCTTCATTGAATCATCAGCAAATCATATTCTCCACCATTATGGTGGATAATCTTTAATATCCAGGCAACTAACATTTTCAGGAGGTTAACAATTCCAGCCAACATATTTCATGGAGCATGTACAAGAAAGCAGCCCGGCATCATCCTTTTACTCCTCCCAGAGGGGTAACAAGCCCCCTATGTGACAGCACATTGGAGGTGATAGGTTCTCTTTAAGAATATATTAGGAGTCCATTAGACCCTAACCATAGACCCTAACAAGCCCCCTATGTGAAAGCTCATTGGAGGTGACAGGTGTTCTTGGAGGAGACATTAGGAGTCTATTAGACCCTAACAGGCCCCTATGTGACAGCACATTGGAGGTGACAGGTTCTCTTTGAGGAGACATTAGGAGTCTATTAGACCCTAACCCTAACAAGCCCCCTATGTGACAGCACATTGGAAGAGATAGGCTTTTTTTGAGAAGACATTCGGAGTCTATTAGAGCGCTAATGTCAACTTTGCACTCCAGGGAAGCTAATGAAGCACAAATTGTGCTTGATTGGCTTCATCCCTGGCTACAGTGGCCAAGAAAAGACAGTTCTGAAACTGGAAGCGATTACATTTTCGTGTCAGATCATTGAACATTCTTCCACTCTCCCTGCTGACATCTGCCATGACTGGGGAGCAGTGGAACCAAGAATACATGACGGGTGGGTTGGGTGATGCTGCAGGACTCCAGGAAGTGACCAGGTGGCTGTAAAGAATCACTTCCAGTACAAAGCCATCAGTCAGCTGAATAGATGTAAACAGACTACACTAGGTAGGGGTCTGTTTACAGGGCCATGCTGTCATGGATGTAGTACTTATGTCCATGGCAGCGAAAGGGTTAACCAATAATTTTTGGCATATACAGTCTTAATGGTCCTCATAACTGGGGTCATGGTTGGGGTGTATCCATTTCCTAAATACATTGCGCTGTCCCTCCCTCTCATCTCAGAAGGTTCGGAGGAATGCAGAAGGGGCATGTCCAAATCTCGCTCCAAACGGTCCAAATCACAGATGTGAGTAACAGGACTGTACTGTAAAATCGGCAAAAACTGAAATCTGATTAGTTGCTGCACTTTGTACATATATATTGCACTTTACTGGATCCTACTGCCAGTTTCCATACAGCCTCTTCCTCTGCAACTCACTGGCAACCTGCATACACATACCACAGGTGCAGAAAGGTGCCATTATGTACAGAGTTTGTACCAGACCCAAATTGAATCACATACAGTATATGACTCCTTACCATGGCCATTCTGCTGCTTTAAAGAAAGGCACATTTGTAAGGAACACATTCTCCTTTTAAGGATGACAACACTCACTCACTGTGCTGCATCTTTGAATGTTGTCACCCTAGGCAGCTCTCTACTATTTTGAACGGCAGGCTGAATGTGTAGGCTATGGCACATCCTATATTATATTTTATGTTTTAGGATCTATGTACGCTTTAAACAACCAGATTAGAGAGGTTTAAGGTCCAAGTAATAGGACTCTGGTGCTACTGGGTCCCGTTGGTGGTCAGGTTACACCACAGGCCTTTATTGCACAATGTTCAAAGAACACTCTGTTTGTTGTGTACTCTGTACTGCTGGGAAGGAGGTAAACATTTCCTGCAAAACAAATCTATGAAACATCTTATGGAAAATTAAGCAACTGACCCCAAAACCGAGTAGGGTGACAAATACCTACCAACACGTATGTTGTACATAGGGTTGCCACCTGTCCCAGATTCACCCGAGGAGGGTGACAAATACCTACCAACACGTAGGTTGTACATAGGGTCGCCACCTGTCCCGGATTCTGGACAGTCCGGGATTTGAGTCAGTTGAGGCCAGCTAAAACACAGACACAGCACATACCGGACTCAAAACCCGTCCTGTCCAGCTGAATCTGGGACAGGTGGCAACCCTATGTACAACATACGTTTTGGTAGGTATTTGTCACCCTCCTCGGGTGAATCTGGGACAGGTGGCAACCTTAGTTGTACAGGGTAATGGTATCAATGTGTTCACACTAAGAATTTGAGTTCTTTACTGATATCCACCAATCAGAATCAGACTTTTATTGTCAGATCTGATTCGGAGTAATGGATGAGTGAAGGAACATCTCTCCCTAGCAAGAACACAATGATAGAGCCATGGACACTCATCTTCTGCCAATGTTTAGAAGTCAAGCCCATTATGGCTCTAATGATTATAATAATAATAAGCTTATGGCTCTAATAATAATAATAAGCTTATGGCTCCTATAATAATAATAAGCTTATGGCTCCTATAATAATAATAATAATAATACGCTTATGACTCCTATAATAATAATAATAATAATAATAAGAAAACTCCATATTCACTAAAAAAATGGTACATATTAATTATTTTACAAAAAAGTGACTCCACTAATCCTGTCAAGTCCCTACTATATCTAGAGTTGCTGCATGAAGAAGTCCAAGCAAAGTTCAAGATGCCAATCATTTAATTAATAGTGATCTTTATATTTTTGCTTGATTTGTATAACCTGCATTGTAAAGAAGCTTTGAACCTGCTCGCTATAAGCAACTAGATTATTCTTTGCTCCATTTTACATAAAACATGACACACCATCGTCCTTCAACAGAAAAGCTGTCACCATCATTTGACACTGTCATGGCTGAAGCAACAGAACTTCCCAGGATATGTGACAAAGCTGTGCACAATATTTGACTTAAAAGTCACTACAGATAAAACTTATATTCATCCAATTTAGCTGATACAACATTACCCAGCTTGCTTCTCTGACATTGGCCAACTACGTTGTCCAATTACCAATTTATTGGAAGACGATGGTAGACATCAAAGCCTGGCAGACAAATCCCATCCCCTTGCATTGCTCTACAATGGAGAAGCGATAAGAATTTTTCATTACAATCCAAGCAGTGTCCTTACCATTGCTTCCCAGAGCAGGCGGTAACAGGAAGGCCAGTGCAATCCCACATATTATCATTGTTCTGGGCGGCATGGTGGGGGGAATTCAGTGCGATGCAACCCCACAACTACCACTTAAGAGCTGAGAGCTGTAGGAGATCAGCCAGAGTCAGAAAAACACAGACCCTCCTTTGGCCTTTCTCCCTCCCCCGCCACCCAACCACTGGGGTCAGGACCGGTTACACATTGACCAGCAAACATTGGGGCCTCTTCATTAACAATACCAGGCTTATTTTGCATACACTAAGTACCAGTCCAGACCCTCTCGTCTCACATATAACTTGCATCTATTAACCCTAGAGTATCATGCATTGCTCAGAAGTGGGCAAGAACAACCATTTTACAGCCTGGTGTGACTTGGTGGCCTTCTGTAGGAGGATTGAGCCACTGTGGCCTGATATTGTACATAAAGTGAACACTTTTCTCATGCTATAAGGACAGATGTGTACATCAATATTCTACATAGTAGACGTGAAGCAATGTGAGGCACTTAAAGTCGATGAATATCCCAATGGAGTGATATTTTGTTTGCTAAATCGCTGTTGCTTTTTGTAAATTCTTGTTTTTACCTATTTTTCTTAATCCTCTGTTGATTTTCAGTGCTGCTGATCTCCAGTAGCCTCTTTGCAGCCTTTTCCTGCACCAGTAATGGTTGCACCAAGTATCAAAGAATCACCTGCACTCCATACAGCATATAGACCTTCAGGTACAAACGTTTGCTGCTTGAAGTGACGACACGGATGGCGCCGTTTAAGATACAGTCAGTAACAGAGGTCACCAGCACTCGATGTTTCATGCGTAAAGTATAAACACTATTTATTGAACTGTCACATGCGTCATCGAGCCAACATTTCAGGGCCTACTAGCAATGGCTGCATGACATTTCTCAGGGCAGGTTTCCTGATGGTGACAACAGTGGTGTGTCGAAAGGACTACTTGAAGTGTCCATGAGCAACCCCTATGTATACTGGCCATGTGTAGGGGACCGCAGCAAAATGCGAGGTTGCACTCAATATTGGGAGCAGTGACGTCACAAAGGGGGGTGCGGCCCGCACCGGTTGACACCATCAGAGGGGGTGACAACAAAATGACTGACAGTCATTTTGGTGTGTCACCCCCTCTGAAAAGTCAGGCGCTCGATCATGGACCGAGAGCCCGACAGCTGCATGAGAGAGGCGGCATAGCTTATCCTGCCGGATGAACGTCCCCTCCTCTGTGGGTCTGGTATGAATTGGGGAGGGGACTCCATGCTGTTTTTTTTAAAAATTATTTTAATGTTAAGCAACATAAATTCATTCTGAATGACATTCTGAAAAAAATTCAGATGCATCCGTAAATTTCGTTATCAAAAATTCGGATATGTTTGAATTCATTATTTTTTCATTCGGACATTTTGATGCATCCGAATATGCAGAAATCCGTCTGAATTTTAATTCGGAACCAAACAAATCGCACAATTCTAAAACATACCAGAACTGCAGATGAATGAAAAAATTTAAATATCACCGACATGTACTCCTTACTTAGCTGTTAGAACCGGCCTCAGTCCAATACTGACTTCCACAAGTCACGGAGATTGATGGAATTCTCAAAAAATTCTATGTATGCCATTAAGAATAGTGCTATTCCTGTGAGTGGTGAGTGAGATTTTATTTGTTAATAAAACTTTTATTGTGTTAGGGCCTGTTCACACGACGTCCGTTTTCTGTGCTGACCTGATCCGTACGCTCCTGCACTAAAAATGCATCCCAATGTATCCCTATGTGTTTTATGGGCTACAGTTCTCACGTGTGCAGTCCGTTCAGGTTACGACAGAAAAATACTGCATGTCACATTTTGTACGGTCAGGAAACGCAAAACAAAGATTATACTATGAAGTGCTTCTGTTTTGTCTGAGCTTATCACATTGTTAATGGTGTGGATATATGAGAGTCTTGTGTTTGGAACTCCAGAAGTCTGTGCTACCTCTTAAAGGAGAACTATGGGGTTAAGGCTTTTCCCCATAGTTCTCCTTAGGGTAACAGGAGGACACAAACTAGCGTCCTCCCGTCACCCTAGGCTCAGTGTACTGCGGGCTGTAGATCGCGGTATACTGAGACGCCGCAGTATACAGCGAGCTGCTGCTCGCGGTATACTGAGACGCCGCAGCTGAAGCGGATCCCGACAATTGTGCCGGGATCCGCCCAGCTGCGTGCCTATTTAAAGGCAATTCCAAAAGATGTCACCAGCACTCCAAAAGTAGATTCAATATATTTTAATGACAACGGTCATTCAAAATCACAAGTACTTTCGGGGCCACGTTGGGTCCCCGTCATCAGGCTCAGTTGGAGCCGACGTGCGACAATGAAACTGTCACACGTCGGCTCAATAGATCGGTGTCAATTTACACGGTGCCTCCGTGGTCACTACAAGCACCCTATTACAGACATCATCTCCTAGGAGATCCGGTAAGGAGTGCAGAAAGATACACACAATTTTGTATTACACGGTGCCTCCGTGGTCACTACAAGCACCCTATTACAGACATCATCTCCTAGGAGATCCGGTAAGGAGTGCAGGAAGATACACACAATTTTGTACATTCTGAGCCTGATGACGGGGAACCAACGTGGCCCCGAAAGTACTTGTGATTTTGAATGACCGTTGTCATTAAAATATATTGAATCTACTTTTGGAGTGCTGGTGACATCTTTTGGAATTACTACTTGACTACACGGTGCCTCCGTGGTCACTACAAGCACCCTATTACAGACATCATCTCCTAGGAGATCCGGTAAGGAGTGCAGGAAGATACACACAATTTTGTACCTATTTAAAGGCAGAGCCAGCTGTACCCGCCCCCTCCCCCGTCCGTTCCACCAGTCAGCGCTGGAGGATCGGAGCGGGGAGGGGGGAATCCAGCCCCACGGCAGAGAGCCGTGACAGGATCGAGAGGTGAGTGAACGCCGGTATGTGTTCGCTCACTTCCCGATCTACTGAGCTGACCTGTGACAGTCTCATTGTCACAGGTCGGCTAGAACTATGAGGTGAGTGGAAAGCACTCACCTCATAGTTCTCCTTTAATAAATTGGGGAAAGATTTTGGCTATATTTCACCTACCTATAACTTGGAGGTCAGATCATTTTCACAAGTGCCTGTCCATGTCCAGCAAGTGGAAGGTGTCACTATGATGGGGTGTGGTGCACATTGTGTTGGGTGTTTGACCATTCTGTACAGTCTCTTTTGTAGGATCCATCTTCCTGCTCATGGACACTTCCCTTTCTTCCTTAGCAGTTTGCTGATGCCTGCTATGTGCAGCCCTGACTGTCCCTCCCCTGGACTGGTTCAAAGGAAGGTTACAGGATGAAAGAAGCATGATGGGGCACATTATTTGGAGCATGGTTACAGTTACTGGTTATAGGAGGTTTACTTGTGATATATAAAAAAAAAGAAAATTACAGTTCTTCTTTGAGGCTAGGTTCACACCGAGGCGACTGACCTGGCAAGAGGTTTTTGCGCGGTTGTTGCGCTTTTTCATTTGCACAACTGTTCTTTGAAAACCGTGCGGTTCTCATGCGGTTTCGAGGGCCGGTTCATACCAGAAAGTGCACGTTCCAGTGCGTTCGGCCTCTGGAACACACTGGAATGCAAGCCGGCCGGCTCCCTGCATTCAGGGGCGGAAGGGGGCACCGCAAACACCCACGCCCGCAGTGCGATCACCCGCACCCGGAAAGCAGGCAGATTAGTGTCTGTGTTCCGGTCCAGTGAGATCTGCAAAAATGCTGCAAGCATTATTTTTACAGATCGCACTGGACCGGAAAGTAGGCACTAATGTGGGTGCGGGCGGGGGGGCGTCGCTACGGTGTCATTGACTTCGATGCACCGCCACACCCCATCCCGCAGGGAGCTGGCCGGCTTGCGTTCCAGAGGCCGAACGCACTGGAACGCAGACTTTCTGGTGTGAACCGGCCCTCAATGCATAGAGATGTCTATGGGACCCAAACCGCGCGACAACCGTCCGAAAAAAGCTCCTGTACCTTTTTGCGCAACAGGCGACTTCATCCGCGTGACAAACCGCAAAGGTGTGAACAGCCTCCATTGACTTCAATGTGAATCTGTGTTTTGTGCGATATTGTGTGAACCTAGCCTTAAACAAGTTGTCCTCGGCCTTCCTGTAGGTTGTTGTTAATGCAAGTGTATGTGACAACCAATCAGCCTCCATTACTCTCACTTGCACTGGAAGAATGAAGGATGTTTTCTATGCAATACAGTTCTTTCAGAATCAATCACTTTGATAGATTTCCCTTCATCTGCTCCCAACACTTCTGTACATCTATAATATGATTACAATGTGACCACAGCATAACATTCCCCCGTACGAGTGCAATTTTGAGAATTTGGATTCTAACCGTCACACAGCTGTGTGCTCTTCCATGTCTAACAGAACAAATATTTATTTTAGGACAAGAGGGAACTGACAGATGGGACAGGGGTCCAAAGAGCAGGGTCAGAACTATGTTCAGAGAGCTGGCTATGAGGCAGGGTACGAGCGGGGCCCCACGTTGCAAAGTACAGCAAACATTTAAGGGAACCGCGGGAAGGATTTTTGCTGTTGCAGCCAAGGCCCTGATCCTGGACGTAGCATTGCGCTCGGTAATGTGCCGGCCCCAGAACTAGCCAACAGTCAGTGAACCGGCCTGAACAGAGGTGATGGAGGAGGGCCGTCCTGACAAGCTGTTTTACTGTTTGCTGTATATTTAAGCTTTGGACTACCTCCATCCTATTCATGGCTAAATCTGACATGTTGCCTTAAAAGTGTGTCATGACAAGATAAAAAAAAATGTAGTACATCCTTAAAATACATGCACATTTCCTCATGTTCAAAAAAGCTGCGAGTACAGAAAAATACTTGATCTGGAGAAATCCAGTGAGCTCCTAAATTTCTGATTGGGCTGACAGCACAGTGCCTCTAAAATCCTGATCAGTGTTGTCTGCCCTGCCTGCTGGACTACAGAACACTGCCCTTCTCTACATGCATACATTGATTTCTTTCCCAACAAAACAATGGCAGTGTCTTGATTTACAAGATCCTACCCACAGACTGTGTGTAATGAAAAGGTTCTTGGGAGATGTAGTTCGGGGGACGTAGCTATGTTAATAAGAACTAAGCTTCCAGCAGCTGAACCCTGCAAGAATTTTACAAGCCTGGTGCAGATATCGCAGGGAGTAATAAAAGCCGTTTCTCACTACTGGGAAAAGGATAAAAATGCGGCACATGCTCTAAAGAGAGAGATTTGAGAATAAAGAGTAATACCTTCACTTTAGGTATTGCCGGTGTTCTATCAAAGAGTGTGATTGGGTTGGAATGTGTGACTAGTCACGTGGTCACACATTTTAACGTAATCCTGCCCACTTTTCCTGCAGTAAAATATGTGACCGGCAAAAGGTGAAGAATTCCAACGCTTTCTCAGATGTTCCAGGGCAGATCGGCATCGCAGATGGTATGTGCAGGAGAACCGATCGGTCCTGAAACATCTGATCGGTCCGGAAATGTGACTTTGTGACTGCGATCTGACATTCCACAAAGTCGGATAGAAGTGACATTTCAGGACCGATCAGCTGTTTCAGGGCAGATCGGTTCTCCTGCACATACCAACTGCGATGCCGATCTGCCCTGGAACAGCTGATCGGTCCTGAAATGTGACTTTGTAACTGCGGGGTCTCATTTGTCCTGAAACACAAAAAAGTGTTTGTTTTGCACATTCCATATTTACCATTCCTCCTAATTTTTTATGTGCATGTATAGTTAAGTCCGGT